AATCATTGGATTGTAGTTTTTTAAAACCTTCTACCTCTTCATCTATACTGTAAACATTGTCAGGCAGAAAGGGACTCCTTTTCAACCATGTAACTTCAGTAGGTACTAATAGATTATCGCAAATTGTTAAAGGTAAAGTAGTTAACATGGATGGTTTACCCTGACTAACTTAACAATAGGGTCTGATTTTAAAGATTAGCCTCCAGAATTTGCTTTAGAACCTGTAAACTGATTTGTAGCACAGGACATTCAGTTCCCATTTCTTAAGTTTAGCACACACTTCTATAAATTTGTACTATTCTCTTTCTCACTTGCCATTTTTACTTTCTGGGCTGGGTAGCAAGAGCCTTCCTGTTTCTGCCTGAAATGGAACTTTTAAAATTAGTCTGTTCTATAAATGCCACTTGACTTCCTACCCCACCTGACTCAGGGTAGAGAGAGGGGTTCATAAAAAATAAGTGGATGGCAATATTCACAAACATCAAAGTACATACACATTACCTGAGGATCTCAATAAAATGCAGGTACTTATTTAGTCTATGAATCCTGAGATTCTGCATTACTAACAAGTTCCCAGAGGATTCTTATGCTGCTGATTTAAGGGCCATCTCTGAGTAACAAGGGAGTAGATGACCTACTTCACGAACACATTCATTGGTTAAACATTATTTAATTGTAATATGTGCCAAACACCAGACTGAGAAACTATCAAAACTGAGCCCCAAAACTGGGCTAAGTGCTATGAGCATAATGAGAATGAAAAAGCAAGCCATGGACTGAAAGAAAATATTTGCAAAAGACATAATTGATAAAGGATTATTATCCAAACTATACAAAGAACTCTTAAAATTCAAAAACAAGAAAATGAACAATCCAATTAGAACATGAGCAAAAGATCTGAACAGACACCTCACCAAAGAAGATATGCTGATGGCAAATAAGTATATGAAAAGATGCTTAGCACCATATGTCATTAGGGAACTTCAAATTAAAACAGTGAGATATCACTATGTGCCTCCTAGAATGGCAAAATTCCAGAACCCTACATCACCAAATGCTGGCAAGAATGTGAAGTAGCAATAACACTCATTTATTGCTGGTGAGAATCCAAAATGGTAGTTACTTTGGAAGACAAATTGTCTGTTTCTTACAAAACTAAACATACTCTTACCATACGATGCTGCAATAATCTTCTCTGGTATTTACCCAAATGAGTTGAAAACTTATGCCCACATAAAAACCTGCACATGGATGCTTATAGCAGATTTAGTCATCATTGTCAAAACTTGGAAGCAACCAAGATGTCCTTTAGTAAATGAATGGATAAAGTGTGGTACATCCAGACAATGGAATATTATTTACCATTAAAAATAAATGAGGTATCAAACCCTGAAGAGGCCTGGAAGAAACTTAAATGCATATTACTATGTGAAAAGAGCCAGTCTGAAAAGGCTACGTAGGGTATGACACCAACTGTATGACATTCTGGAAAAGGCAAAACTATGGAGACAATTAGAGGTTCTGAAGGGTTGGGAGGAAGGGAAGCATGAATAGGTGGGGCACAGAGGATTTTTAGGGCAGTTAAATTATTCTGTAAGTCACTATAATGGTAGATATATATAATTGTACATGTCAAAACCCATAGAACTACAACACCAAAAATGAACCCTAATGTAAATTATGAACTTCGGTTAGATAATAATGTGCAAATTATAATTCACTGATTGTAACAATACACCTCTGAAGTACAGGATGTTGATAACAGAGATTGTACATTTGTCAAGGGATGGGATATAGGAACTTTCCATGCTTTCTGCTTAGCTTTGCTGAACCTAAAATTGCTCTGGAAAAACAAGTTTAGATATATAGAAAAATAGATATGATTAGGCCAGAGAATCCATTCTGGAACTAGACATCCTTGGTTTGTGCACAAAACTGATCAAATAAACCACATATGCCAAACCTAGCACCTACTTCAGAGACTCCCAAATTGTGGACCCTGGGAAACTTACATCAGTACCACCTGGGATGTCCTTTAAAGTCAAAGATTAAAGAGTTACATTATCAGCCAGGCTTGGTGGCTCAGCCTGTAATTCCGTGCCTTAGGAGGCTGAGGTGAGCGGATTGCCTGAGCCTGCGGGTTTGAGACCTGCCTGGGCAACTTGGAGAGACCTCATCTCTACAATAAATCAAAAATGAGCCAGGCGTGGTAGCGCGTGCCTATAGTTCCAGCTACTGGGAAGGCTGAGGCAGAAGGATCGCCGGAGCCCAGCAGGTCGAGGCTGCAGTGGCCGGGAGCAGCCACTGCACTCCAGTCTGGGCAACAGAGTGAGACTCTAACTCAAAAAAAACAAATAAATAAAAATTTTTAAAAAATAGTTGCATTATCGTAATTTTTAGTGCTGGGAGTTAATTATCTACAGTTGAGCCATTTATTCAGGTTATTTTTATGTTCCACAGGGTTTAAGAATCACTCTTCTATTCACGCCCACATATTTTTGCGTCAAAAGCAAATACCAAATTGATTTCCAATAAGTTTTAATAGTTTTACCTTCTTGCTGGGAACAATCAACAAGCTTAAAATTCATGAAAAATCATTAAATTATCTACATATTCTTTTTTTCAAACCACCTATAAGTTAATGAAATAAACTGTGTAAATAATAGTGAAGTAGACTTATTTGGGGAAAATACATATATATCTCTCTGACACCTTTTATTAAGAAGGAATAAAAACATAAATGATTTGTGATTTTAGCAAGCACGGTACAAATATAATAACAAATCATTTATAGATGTGAAATCATTATCAATATTATCATTACTCTAAGACATGCTAAGAATTTTCTAAATAACAATGGACAAAAATATTTTTTTCTCATGAACAAAATATTAAAATTTTAATTCATTGACATTTGACAAAATATATTTTTTTAAACTGGAGAGAATTATGAAGGAACAGTTTAACTTTGTGTGTTTACCTGATAAGAGGACAGCTAAATGTATCCTCCCCATACTTTCTGTTTCTATTTTTAAGAATACCACAAGCTCTAATGTGTCTTTTTTACATAAGTTGACCACAAATGCAGTTTGGTTGAACAAGCCTATCTAGAATTGGTTGCTTAAAAAAACTAGGTGTAATTGACTAGATACCAGTGACTCAAAAGAATATTCACACCCTTAAACCTAAGGGGCAAAAACTTAATGCCAGTGTTACTTAAGAAAGCCCCACCACAAAATCTCAGTTTTGTCTGTGTGTGTACTCCAATCGCACTCTTATCCCCATAATTGCATGCATTATTTTTATGACCCATTTAGTCTAGCATTTTGAGCTTCACAAGCAAACTAAAAATGTAATGTCATTTTAATAAGCTGCTCTTATACCATTTGGTAAGTCATCCACCCTTTTTACACATTAACACACATACACACACTCAGATCACATTTGTTTGTGTAGAGCTCACATATTTGTTCAAATGGATTCTAACCTCATCCACTTTGTATGAGAACTACTGCATTATTTAAGCAGCATTTGAGAATTCTAATAGCCTCATACTGTTGAATAAAGTTATAGGCTATTTTTGAAATAATTAGACCCAAGTACTCTGGAAATTCAGAAAATTTGAAACCATCTTTTGCTATACTCTTTTTATTTATTTATTTATTTTGAGTTGGAGTTTCACTCCGTCGCCCAGACTGCAGTGCAGTGGCCGCTCCCGGCCACCGCAGCCTCGACCCGCTGGGCTCCGGCGATCTTTCCGCCTCAGCCTTCCCAGTAGCCGGAATTACAGGTGCGTGCTACCACGCCCGGCTTATTTTTGATTTATTGTAGAGATGAGGGCTCGCCAAGTTGCCCAGGCGGGTCTCGAACCCTCGGGCTCAGGCAATCCACTCACCTCAGCCTCCCAAAGGCGCGGGATTATAGGCTGAGCCACCGAGCCTGGCTTTTGCTATACTCTTAAGTGGCTGCAACCTCAGTATTTTAAAATGAATGATTGCTAAACTATAATATGTCACTACATGTTTTAGCCTGATTCTTTCATGAGAACAGCAAGATACAGATGTGGTGAATGAAAGTATGTTCACGCCTACTGACCAACTAAATATTCTGGACTTACTCTCCATTTTATTAATTGTGCTTTAAATTTGCTATCAAGTCAAGCATGAAGCAGTTTAAACCATTAGTCCTCACTTTCTCAATAATACCTATTCTCATTATTCTTAAGTTTACTCAGATACTCACAAGTATATTAATTAAGCAGCATTATGTCACATTCATATCAATTAGTCTATGTGACCCAAACACTGAATCACTACATTGCTAAAAAATGCACTATACATTGATTGCTCCATTGATACCTATATTTGCTGGCCACTCTAACAAGAGTAGATATAAGCATTTGTTTGCCAGGTATGAAGAATATTCACCCCACATCCAACTGGAGTATTCTATATCTTTATTTATCCTTTTCATTATTTTCTTATACCAAATCTAAAATGATTTCTCCTTTACATTTGAAAAAACACCAGTCTTAGACTGACATAGGAAACATTTCTTATTATAGGAGATTGACTTGAAATAATCATTGCTCTATTTATGGATAGTCAAATTAGGACTTTTTTTTCATGAGTATGTAGTAAATGGAGCCAGCAAACCTCCTTTCCCTACAAGTCTTTCTGATATCTCCAAAGGAAAAGACTGAGTTCATGTATTGGGTAAAAATGTAGATAAGTATAAATGTTCTACTACTCATAATATCAATCAGTTTTGGAAAGAAAATCTTATTGCTCAAGGCTATCCTATAAAAGTCTCCTAAATAAGTTTCTGGAAGTAATTTTAATCATTTGTCCTGTGGATCTTTAAGACATGAGCACTAATATGAACCTTCTTAAGGTGAAAATTCCCAAGTTGAAAAACAGTATTTAACATTCTGCTGGGTCCAGACATCGGTGTTGATATGCCGATCATTCAATGGTCACCGGGTGGAGCAAGGGCAAGATTTAACTCCTCACACATATGGATGCATATTCTGTTGGGGCTTCTGTCACATTTCTTCCCTGTCTTGGGTGCGGTCCAATGACAGAATGGTTCAGGGAAGCATAAACAATGCCTTGTTTGTTTTCTTCCAGGTATGGGTTAGAATAAACTTCAGACCCTCCTTGCATCCGGAACCAAGGATCAGAGTAATTATCATAAATTTCAGTTTCTGATGGCAGTGTTTGGGAATTTTGCCTGGTGTCCATTTCTGTTTGTTCACTCTTAAAGGGCTGGGGACCATCAACCTAAAAGAGAAAAAAAGATGTCTTTAATTGTCACTTAGGACTGTGATAGTGCATATCCATTAGCAAGCTATGCATGAAAGGCTAAATGGACCCATGTACATTGAGATAAATAATCTACTGTTCCTCACATATGCTGCTGACATCTACATTGTTAGCAGAATCTCAATTACTAGAGGATGAAAGGTTTGAGAAGCACTATGTTCCCCCCAAGTAGTTATTTTGTGCTTTATTGTTGGTCACTTTTGAGGTCATAGAATACTTTTCAATCCCACTGCAAAATGAAATGCATAGCCCAGTTAATGGAAAAAGTGCAATATCCCACGAAAACTTCAGGCAGCTTATAAGACAATGGACAGTATTTAATGCAGTTTAAAATAAAAAGATTAAGAGTGAAGCAGATCAGATACCCCCTAAAGGGCAGAAAAATAAATATGTGTTATCCAAGATACATTATTATAATTTGAAACCTGGAATTGGAAGATTGATGTCAATTTTGGAAAGATAAAGCTTAGAAAAAGTTCTAAAATGTTATTCCAGCTGTTATTTCCATCACAAGTAAATTCTTAGTTTCAGATAGAGTCAAATATCTTAGAGTTTCTGAGAAAGAGGTGAATATATGGAAATAAAATGAGTCCTAATATTTTCTCACTCTTTTCAGTTATTTGTTAGCCATTCTTAGCTACACAAAGGATCTACCTGGTAAAAATGAAAATAATGTATTAATTCTAAGGGTTATTTTAATGTTTTAAATCTTATTTTTGCCAGTCAATTTATGTTCTTGAAATTTGGCCTAACTCCTTTAAAATATCAGGTCAATAGTCATTGAAAGTCTACATACCTTATCTGGTCCTTTGCCATCCTCACTGTGATGTGTGCAGTAAGATGTCTATGACATTTCTTGGCAGCGTTCTAGCATACCAACATGTCTGGCTTTATCCTGAGAAGCTAGGTAATTACTCCTGGTACACTGCCTCCCTTTTTTTATGGCTACCCATTAAAAAAAAAACACTAAAAATAGATGACTGAAAGAGGCAGGTATTGTTTGACTATGATGAAAGGTGCTCCTACTTTTATGTGAAGAACCCTAAATAAAGTCTACATGGCCAGGCATGGTGGCTCTCGCCTGTAATCCCAGCACTTTGGGAATCTGAGGCAGGAGGATTGCTTGAGCCCAGGAGTTTGAGACCAGCCTGAGCAACATAGTGAGACCTTGTTTCTACAAAAAAAAATTAGCCAGGTGTGGTGGTGTGTGCCTGTAATACCAGCTACTCGGAAGGCTAAGGTAGAAGGATTACCTGAACCTAGGAGGTCGAGGCTACAGTGAGCCATGATTGTGCCACTGTACTCCATACTCCAGCCTGGGTGACAGAATGAGATGCCAACTCAAAAAAAAAAAAAAAAAAGGTTGGGCTCTATGGCTCAGTCTGTAATCCCAGTACTTGGGGAGGCTGAGGTGAGTGGATTGCCTGAACCTGCAGGTTCCAGACCAACCCGGACAACTTGGCAAGATATCATCTCTACAATAAATCAAAAATTAGCCGGGCATGGTAGCACGTACCTGTAGTTTGGCTACTTGGAAGGCTGAGGTGGAAGGATCACCAGAGCCCAGTAGGTTGACACTGGGGTGGCCATGAGCATGCCACTGTACTCCAGCCTGGGCAACAGAGTGAGACTCCAACTCAAAAAAGAAGTCAATATGTAGGGCACTAAAAAAGGCTGTCAAGTGATCTGAAAAATAGCCATAGATCTTCAATATATCAACAGGTCCCCGTCATACTTTTCAATCTATTGAAGTCTGTCAATTCAGTTATCTGCCTCCCTGTGGCACGCCATCAAGGTGGCTGGATGCCATGAGGTGGTGGCTAGAAATAACAAAAACAAAAATAGCAACCCCACCTCAGCATTCCTATGGCACTTTACAGATTACAAAGCACTTAAAGTACATATATGCAGATATATACATATATATATATATTTCACATACCATAAAATTTTGTGATTTATAGTAGAAAATCACCCTTATACGCCCAAAAAAACCATTTGGATTAAGATGAGAGCTTTGGCTTTTATATGTACCTGCCGTGTTTTTACCAGTTTCTTTCTCTACTAAGAATTTCTCCACTAGCTCCCATACAAATTCCTTCTTAAGAAATATTCAACTTCAGGGCCTAATATGACATCCCTTTGATTATTTTTTGGGATGCTAAGACAACTCAAATTCCTGTGAATACTTTAGAACCAATTTCTCAAGTAATTGCACACACAGAAAAACTCTTCTGAATGCAACTTCAAATTATAATTTGCCCAGCTTACATAGGAAGAAAAATGACCACGGTCTAGTCAACCTGGGTTTTATTTGAACGGTTAATTACTTTGATTTTTTTTAAAAAATAGTTTCATAGCCCTTAGGCCCTATTGTAACTGAATATAGTCTTTGCTGTTCACTATAGGAAATAATATTTGAGAAAATTTCCCTATTTGAGGAAACAAAGCCTTAGCATACAGCACAGTGCCTACCTGATGCTCCTTAAACACTTAATAGAAGTGTGTAAAATTGAATGTGTTTGCTTTGGTTTAAAATTAGGCATCCTGATGGGAAATGCTGAATGTCATTTATTATTTGTTTGTTTTTTAGAGTTGAAGTCTCACTCTGTTGCCCAGGCTGGAGTGCAGTGGCACACTCACAGCCACCGCAGCCTTGACCTGCTGGGCTCAGGCGATCCCTCCACCTCAAGCCTTCCAAGTAGCTGGGACTACAGGTGTGTACCACCATGCCTGGCTAATTTTTTGATTTATTTTAGAGGTAAGGTGTCACCAAGTTGCCCAGGCTGGTTTTGAACCCGTGGGCTCATGCAATCCTCTCACCTTGGCCTCCCAAAGTGCTGGGATTATAGGCATGAGCCACCGTGCCCAGCTGTCATTTACTATTATATGTAGAATTATTAGCTCTATCTGCCTTTGGCATATGTGGAGTTTTCAAGAGGGTTACTATCTCTATCACTGATCTTTCTTCCTGAAACACACACACACACACACACACACACACACCAAATTCCTGTGCCGTTTCTCATTTATTATTATTTTTAATTAAAGACCTTAGAAATTTTTCCCACAAATATGTTGCCTCATTTAAAACATTTTTCCAGAACTCCTTTTCTTTCATCTAGGTGGTCTCTTCCTAGTTGAGTCCACCCATAATATCAGGGACTTTTACATAATAACTAAGTTTGAGATCATGCCTCGTTATTGCTAGTGTTATTTGTAAAGACATCTACTCATTTTATGGGGTTATTTATGGGTTAATTCTTTCATTAGTTCCCACACTCTCTTCCAGAAAGACTTTAAAGTGCTTTGTGAGAATGAATAAATAACCTGAGGCCACATAACAGGCAAGAGCAGAGCCAAGGATATACGGTTCAGTCTTTGACTTTTCTGTTTTGAGTCTAGATCACCTTTCATCCCTTACCAAAGAACCACTTACTATGAGAACTGTTAATCTTAAAGAGTCTTTGCTGCAGAAAGAGAAATGTAAAATCAACATACTTTTAAAATTAGTCTATCTATCTAAATATACATATATAGTACTTAGAACAGTGCCTGACACATGGTGTTCTATAAACTAGTTGAATAGAGAAATAACAAATAAACACAGTATAACACAAATTGCATTTGCTTCAACTGATACTTCAAACTTACCATGATAATTTCCCTCCCTGCTGTATCACAAAGCTTCTTTTCTTTTCCTGGAAGACAAAATGAAAAATAAGTAAACAAAAGGAGTAAATAAAGCAGAGGTAAACCACCTTCCCACTCTTGCCCACCCTGTTGAATGCCAGTGATGGTGTTTCCAGTTTTGGCTTGTTTGCTTTGGCTAGTGTGCCATACACACCTGTTTGTAAGAATTTATACTCCCCACCTCCCTCACTGGTTTATCAGTTCTCACTCCACATAGCCCTATGACATATCTAAGAGGAAGGAGCAAAACTAGTACATCACTTTGAAAAGGCCGAAACCCTTACTCTGTCCTATCACCTATATAGCCAGGATCTCCTACTACCTGTTTCACTTTGGATATGGCAAGTCAAAGGATTTATCTCTGAATCTTTTTCTGAAGTTCTAAGAAAGGTTCTAGCAGCCTCAAAAAAGATGATGAAATGAAGCCAGACCCATGAATTCTCCACAGGGACGTAAAGAGGGACCAGAGAAAGGACCATGGAGTTGCAGATGCAGAATTGGAGTTATAGAGAATTCTTCAGAATTCTGAGAAGGTTGTGGGCTCCAGAAGTTCTCGCTCAAAATACCGGAAGCACTTTTGCCCAGACAAAGCTTTCTCCTGTGACAGATAAAATAAGGGGTTCTCTGTCTAGCCCAGTTTCCATAGCTACACTGTGACTGGTGTTCTGGGAAAAGGGGTGTGAGAGGATGAAGGAGAGAAAAAAAGGAAAGAGAAAACGGAAGTGGTTTAGATCAGAGCTATATCAGAATTCTCTATACATTCCTCTCTTACTTAACATGTTAGGTTGTGACATTGAGAGATTTGTTATAAAAGCAAAAAGAAATTGTTTTCAAAATATCGCACCTCTCCTGTCATAGCCAAACCCACATTTTTCAAATGCATTATTGTTGGGTGAGGATTCAGTTCAAGTATGTGTTTTTAATGGCAACAGAAAATACAGACACATGAACATTCTTTGAAGACATTGGTTCTTCATTTAGATAAGTGTATGTATGACATGTGGTGGTATGGCTGTGAAAAGAAGACACAGCAAAATAACTCAAATCCAACATCTTGATCCAAGAGATTATCTCACCCTCCCTTTCCACCCTGTTAAGGTTTAGATGAGCTCACTCTCATACAAATATAAGATTAATAAAAAGTAGAAGAAGAAAGTCCCAGTCATGAGTCCTTCTAGCCATAACCCTAGATTGGAGTATGGCATTGTGGTAGCATGCCTTAGTATTACTCCAGTGAGTGCAAATTAATCCATTTGGCTTTGGGGTGGAAATATGAGTTGTTTCCCAAGAAATTATTATCCATGGTTTATCACAAGATAGAGAAAGAAACAACAGAAACAAACTAAAAAACTAGCAGCCCCAGGAATAAGACCACTTAATGTATAGTGTGGGGGGCAGAGGGAAAAGGGAACCTACCTTGGTGCCTTCTCAGACAGCAGAACAGGAAGAAACATGAGATGGCGAGTAGAAACAATCCCCCCAAAGTAAGCAAACTATAAAGGAACCATGATCTGTTTGCCGTCTCGTCCTCGGAGGGTCGTCCTGAGGTACTGGTTACATCTGGAATGTCAGTCAGTGTTAAATAGAGTTAGGGAATCTGAGATATATAGGATCAGCAGCACCCCTTTGCATTGTCAGAAACTGAGTGAACGGTATTTCAAGCTAATGCCTCCCTTACAACCCCTTTAGAGGCATTCTCTGAGAATCCCAGGCTTCGTGCCCTCAGCCACCTCCTGCCCTCAGCCACCTCTTGCTTTATTTCTGAGCACATGTGGCTCTTCGATAATTTATCTTTTGCAAAAATCATTAGTTAATGATTTTGGGGGTTAATCTCCCATAGATCAATCTCCATAAGAGTTCTCAAAAAATACTTCACCAAGCCTTTATCTCTATTTACTGTATCTAATTTAACTCTCATACGCATCACCTAAGAAAAGTAGGGAAGCCATTGTCTCCAACCAGACTTGAGAAGAGGTTCTAAGAATTGCTCAAAGTCAGGCATCTAGTGAGTAGCTGTGGGAACTCAAGTCAACATGCTTTTGACATGAAATTCAAGTTCCTTCAGCACAATGCCCTTTTCTTGTCTCATAACTCATTGGTATCTCCAAATACCTAATACTTTTGGTATCCCCAAGTATGCTCTGCTTGTCATATAGCCAATGCTTATAACTACTGATCAGCGTTAACATGTATTAAGGCCCAGTTTGTCCACAGTTGGTTGCAGCTTATTAATAAGTTGTGAAACACGTTAATAGTTCACAAATAGCATTTTAAAAAAAGTTAAGGCCGGGTTCATGGCTCAGCCTGTAATCCCAGCACTTTGGAAGGCCATAGCGAGTGAATTGCCTGAGCCTGCGGGTTTGAGACCAGCCCGCGGAACTTGGCAAGATGTCATCTCTACAATAAATCAAAAATTAGCAGCGCGGCAGTGCGCACCTGTAGTTCTGGCTACTGGGAAGGCTGAAGCGGAAGGATTGCCAGAGCCCAGCAGGTAGAGGCTGCGGTGGCCGGGAGTGTGCCACTGCACTCCAGCCTGGGTGACAGGAGTGAGACTCCAACTCAAAAAAAAAAAAAAGTTAAAACAGAATGGGCAACATCCAAATGCGTCACACACACTAGAACAGTGGTTCTCAAGCAGGACAATTTTACCCCCAGGGAATATGTGGCTTTGTCTGGAGATATTGGAGGTTGTCCCAAGAGTGGAGGAGGGAGGCTAGCAACTAGTGGGTGGAGATCAGGGATTCTGCTAAACACTCTACGTTGCACAGGATGCAACAACCCCTCACCACAGCAAAGAATTATTCAGCCTAAAAAATGTCAATGGAGAAAGTCTGTCTTGAGGTAATTATGGTTTTATAAAACATTTTCAATCTGTGTGTGTATTATGGGTTCTGATGTCAGATCTATTATTTATTTTGAGTTGCTGTTAACACCCTATGAAAAATACTAGAGTAAGATACTCTGTGATAATGTCTGTGATCTTGTTTTCCGAGATGGTTGGTTTTGGAGTAATAATGATCAGAGACAACTGCAGCTGGACGAAAAGTGATTTGGTAACAAATGCTGTGCTGTTCATACTGCAGCTGCTGTTTAGGTTGGGCGAGCAGCCAAATCATTGCCTAGAGTGTCAGACACAGCTAGTTGCCTGTGGCAGGAGTGGCTTGGATAGGAATGGAGACTAAGGTTCCCACAACAGATAACCCAACACAAACACACCCACTCAACTGAGAAGATTCTACTTCTATTCCGTCTCCAACCACCAAACAAACTAGTTTCCTTAATTTTATTTGATTAATTTGATACTTACTTATTAGAGGGCGTTCTGAGTTATTTTGAGTTTTTTCTGAAATAGAGAGACAAGATAAAGAATTGAAACTGTTTGAGAAAACAATGAGGGTGTACACTTGGGTGTGTCCAAAACTGAAGCTAATCTTGGAGAGGCTTCCAGCATTTGCACAGTAACAGAGAATCCAATAATCCAGATAAAAATCAGTTTGTTAAGTTGTGGATCACTGCCTCAAGACCATAGACACAAAGTAAATCCCTGGGTTTATTTTGAAGCTCACTGGAAGACTTTGCACCCTAAGACTTTACAACATAAACTTCATCTGCTTTGGTTGCTTTTCTCCATTCCTTAAGTATAAGGACACCATACAGCCTGTATGACTCCTGTGGCACCTGAAATAACAAGATACACATTCAGCAGGTGCTCCAAGTTAGGGTAGAAGGCCACAAGGAAAGGATGTTTGGGGTGATATTCTGGGTGCTCATTCTGAAACAAAGATTGTGCCTGTCACTTCCTGCCCTCCCACTTTACACCCACTTTCCTGCACAGATCATGACCTTTTGTGAAGTTCCTAATCAGAAACTGATGAGGGAAGGTTGGGAAGAATGGAGTTGCAGGCTAATGTGTGTTTCAGTGAGAGTTCTCCAGCTCTATCTTTTTCCCTAGGACTTTGCTTTGTTTTGTGAAGTGCTTTCCTTCATTCTGGAAGAATATTGCTTTCTCAAGAGCATCCAAGTCCCCACTCTGTCACAGACCTGTTCTTAAATAAACCAATTCTTAACTTGAACATAAACAGCTAAGAAGGGTCAGATGCAAAAACAGAACGTTTTGAATATTCCTTCAGAAACATATTTCAAAGGAGGAAAATAAAAATGTTTTTTAGCATACCTCCAAAATTCATTTATGAAAAAGATGGTCCCAAACATAATTCCAGAATATACTTTTCTTTTCACTTCATAATTACTTTTTTGAACACTCTCAGATCCAGAAGGAAAAGGAATTTTTTCTTGACCTTTCCCTGTTATTTTTGTTTTCACATTTCACTAAAGGAAAATCCATACCCAATTTAAATTTAAGCTAATTCTTAAATAATTAATTTGAGTTTTGTGAAGAAGTAGAAAACAAACCAAAGAAATATGACACAATAATGCCTTCCACGACATTATAATCTTTTAACGGGACTTAAAAGATATTTCCACATATTACTATAGTGAAAGGAAATATGTGTTAAATGAGAGTCACAGACCTTAATTGGCATAAAAATTGGTAGAAAAGAGAGATCGTATCCCTAGGGTGATCATGGAAGACTTTAAGAATTTGGGATAAGAGCTGAGCTTGGAAGGAGGGGTAGAATTTTGATAGGAGGAAACAGATGAATGGATGCCCTACAAACGGAGAGAGTGGCATAGGAAGGGCCATGGTGGAGACATGGTAATGGCAATTAGGGCTGTTAGGCTGGAGTTGAGAGGTTCTTCATGGAATCCAGAAACAATCCAGAAAGGTAGATGGGAATGAATTGTGGAAGCCTTCGTATGCTAATTAACAAACATGAGCCCAATATTGTGAGCACTGGAGACACTCTGAAAGGGAATGGCATTATGAAAGAAGTGTATTAGGCTAATTAAGTGTATTAGGAAGGTATTTGGCTGAAATGGACTAAAATGGAGGAACACTCAACATAAGTTCAGTCACAGATTCAATTGGAATAATTTAAACGGAAGATAATGAAGGTGTGAGATATTCATAGAAGCTATAGGAAGGAACACATCACAGAGTGGAATATTGCTGACAAACAAGAATAGGAGACCAAAGCAAAGTCTCTGGCATTTTCCAATAGGTATCAGGTGCATTAATTAACAAAGTGATAAGAAAGGGAGTGGAAAAAAAGGGAGGAGTAGGTAAGTAGGAAACTAGGAGAGTAGAAATCTTCAGAAAGAAACTTACAAGGCCCTTTCTGTCTTCCTATTTAGTTCTTAGACTATCTCTTTCACCACTTCATTCTTCACACTCTTTGTTCCAATCTGACACTAATAAAACCCCTCAGGGCACAAGGTTTAAGAGGAAATACTGTTTCCCTTCCCCTGAAGTTGAGCCTTTCCTTCCACAAAATAGATACTGTTGATCCTAATCTCAGCCCCTACTTGATTTATAGAATAGGCACCTTTATGCACTTTACAAACTGTAAACCATCTCTAGGTTATGGAATGACCCAAATACAGGATAGAGGAAAAAACTGTAATACTACTTTTGTGTTACAAGCAATTATTAGCTTGCTTCCTCCCTCTTATATAGAAGTAGATTGGTTCCTACATAGAAAAACTAAATTATGCAAGAGGGTTTCTCTTCGAAGGAAAGTGGACTTAATGCTTCAAAATTCAATTTAATTTTACATTATATTAATATATTATATAAATGATTCAATTACATTTAATTATTTATTCAATGGTATGATTCATGTCATCCCCAAAATAATGTTTTACAAATTTTATTTTATTTTATTTTATTTTTTGAGTTAGAGTCTCACTCTGTCACCCAGACTGGAGTGCAGTGGCCGCTCCCAGCCACCGCAGCCTCCACCTGCTGGGCTCCGGCGATCCTTCCGCCTCAGCCTTCCAAGTAGCCGGAATTACAGGCATGCGCTACCACACCCAGCTGATTTTTTGATTTATTGTAGAGATGAGGTCTCGCTGTCCAGGTGGGTCTTGAACCCGGGGGCTCAGGCAATCCACTCACCTCAGCCTCCCAAAGGCGCGGGATTACAGGCTGAGACACCGAGCCCGGCACAAATTTTATTTTTATAAACTATTTTGCCACCTTATAAAGTAATAGTTCTAGCTGGCCATGGTGGTTTACACCTGGAGTTCCAGTTAATTGGGAGACTGAGGTGGGAGAATTGCTTGAGCCCAGGAGTTTGAGACTGCAATGAATTATGATTACCCCACTACACTCCAACTTGGGCAATAGAGCAAGAACCCTATCACTAGAAAATAAAAAGGAAGAAAAAGTAATACTTCCTAAGAATTCAACATTTTATCTCATTCATATGAATTAATAGTACATTCTTTCCAGAATGGGTTCATTTCCTAGGTCCTCGTTATAGTTTTCTCTGGGCTAGTAAGCGCAATTTTTTACTTTGCATAGATTATATTCATTCATTTACAAAGAAATATTTAATGAACCCCTGCCAAGTATCACATACTGTGCCATCCATTGTACAGAAATAAAGATATTTAAGATACAGTCTCCGAGCTGAAGAAGTTTATAAGCTAGTGCATGGATGGTTACAGGTAACTAGCACTGAGCTTGACCCTAAACTTGCAAAAACAGAGTCTCCAAAACTGCCATAGATTCCGTCTACACTTCTATGCTTCATAGTTGAGGTTTGTAGCTAGCACTGAAGTGCTGCACATTCTTTCATGGGTCCACTTCTCTCCCTCTATGTATTTTTTTGTTTTATTCATCTTGGTTTCCACAACTTAACCTCTACCTGTCCTTCCTCAGCTGTTAGAGCCTATAGAAGGCCTCTGGGGAGCAACAGGGGAGACAACTGAAATATGAATATTCCTAGAAATTCATCAGTTAGTTAGGTTATTTGTGTGCCATTTGTCCTCTAAGCAAACTGCAAATTATTAGCAAGCATATAATTGTCTAAGTTCCACAAACAGACTTCAAAGAATTATAATTAACAAAAATTAAGAACAGAAAAATGAAAAAAAATTAAGAACAGAAAAATGAAAAAAAATTAAAACTAGGGACAAAGAATACAGAGCTGTCTACAACTATAGATATCCACTTTTTTCTCAGTACATCTGTTATCTACTTTTGTTCTTATCAAATATATTTTCTAATTCCTAAAGTCAAAACCAGTAACTTTTATTATATTTTTCTTGACACTTCTTTACCTCACTCACCCCAAATTACACACACACACACACACACACACACACACACACACACACACACACACATAGTAATATGCACATAGCTATATGCACACATAGCAAGCTACGAGGTGTGGCAGACTTCTGATGTGCTACAAGGAGATCAGCCTCTAAAGTAATCACTTGAGAATCTGTATACCCCTCTTCCTAGAAACACAATAAGATCATTAAACAGTCTAAGTGTTGAGAACTCACCTGTCACATAAATGGCTACTGAGTGACTTGGAATGTGTCTAGACAACAATTTTGCAGTACAACGGTATGAGCCATTGTCACTAGGAAGCACTGGTTTGAAATGCAGAACAAAAAATGAAATATTCTTCTCTTTTCTCCAACTTGTATGTTTCTGAAGTCTGTCTTCAAGATCTGAACACTGTGTTCCATTGAGCTTGCACCAAGTCACATTAGGTCTGTTAGAACAGTATTTTACAGGGCATTTCAGTTCAAAGGAATCTCCCACTAAGACGGAGTACACAGATTGTCTCTTAACATGAACTTGTACATCACATAACTCTTCCCCTAAAAGATAAAAACAAAACTAAAATCAAATATGTATACATGACTTCAACAGTTTCTGCCAATGATTTATTAAGCATGATTCTGTAATTTTTCTAGAAAAGTTTCTAGTCACTGATTCTCCCAAAGTGGCTGAGGCAGGAGGATTGCTTGAGTCCAGGAGGTCAAGGCTGCAGTGAACTGTAATCATGCCACTGCACTCCAGTTTGGGTGACAGAGCAAAACCCTGTAAAAGAAAGAAATAAAGAAAAAAAGAAAAGGAGGAAGGAAAGAAAGAAAATAAGATAAAACATTTAATCCTCTAAGTCTGTTTTCTGCTGCTATAACAGAATATCTAAGACTGGGTAATTTATGAACAATAGAAGTTTATTTGTCTTGTGATTCTGGAGGCTGGGAAGTCCAAGAGCATGGTGCCAGTGTCTGGCAAAGACCTTAATGCTGCATTATCCCATGGCAGAAAGCAGAAGGTGGAATGGAGCACACAAAACAGAAAAATGGGGACCAAGCTTCATCCTTTTATTAGAAGCCCACTCCTGCAATAGCTAACCCACTTTTACAATAAGGGCATTAATACCATGGCCTACTCACCTCTGGATACTGTTACAGTGGGAATTAAACTTCAACATGAGTTTTGGAAAGGACATACCATAGTATGTCATGCCTCGTTACTCAAAACTCATGTCCTTTTCACACACAAAATACATTCATTCCACCTCATTAACCCCAAAAGTCTTAACTCATTCCAGCATCAATTCAAAAGTCAACAGTCCAGAGTCTCATATAAGTCAGCAATAGGTGAGGCTCAGGATGTGATTCACCTCCTACTGTGAGTCTGTGAAATAAAAATAAGTTCTCTACCTCCAAAACACAATGGTGAGACAGGAATAAGGTAGGCATTTGCATTCCGAAGGGGAGAACTAGGCAAAAAAGAAGGGAGTAACAGGCCCCAAGTAAGTCCAAAACCATGTTTTGGCTCTCACAAGTTGAAGACTCAAGCCTGCAGCTCTCCCAGACTAATGCTTTACGCTGGTAGCTCTACAATTCAGTGGTCTCAGTGGCAGTCCTACTCTGATGACTTCCCTAGGCATATCCCTAGTGAGGATTCTCTGTGGCAGTTCCAACCTCACATTTCTGCTTGACATTGTCCTAGCAGGAGTTCTCTGTGGTGACTCTACCACTACAACAAGTTTTTTCCTGGGCTTTTAGGCTGTCACCTCATCCTCTGAAATCTAGCTAGAGAGAGCTATGCACACACAGCTCTTCCATTTTGCTAGCTTGCAGACTTAACAAGTGAGTTCCAGCAAAACTTACCAATTGTACCTTCTGAAGCAGTGGAAAGAGCTACACCTGAGCTCACTTGATCCAAAACTAGAACAGCCCAGGAGCATTGTGCCAAAATGCAGGGAGCAGACACCTGAGGTAGCTCTGAGCAGCAAGATTTCAGAGGGCGTTCTGGTTTCCCCTAAAACCATTTTGCCTTCCTAGAGCTCTGAGCCTGTGATGGAAGTGGGAGGCTTCAAAGATTTTTGAAATGCTTTTTCTCACTTCCTTGATGCATAGTATTTAGCTCCCATCTGTCCATATTGATCTCTTTAACAAGTGGCTGCTTGGCCATAATTTTAGTATTTTCTCCCAAACATGCCTTTTTACATTTTACATGGCTAGGCTGTGAATTTTCCAAATCTTTCTATTTTGCTTCTCTTTTAATCATAAATTCTATCTTAAGTCATTTTTTTTCCTCTTGCATCTCACTGTATGTGGTTAAAAATAGCCACATAGCAGTCTGCTTAGGTACTTCTTCTGCCAGACATACTAAGTCATTGCTCTAAAATTCTGTACTCCATGACGTCCTAAGATATAGATGCAATTTCACCAAGGTATTTTCAATAAGGATGGCCTTTACTCTAGTTTCCAATACCTTGTTTTTTATTTCTACTGGAGGCCTCATCAAAATGAACTCTGCTGTCCATATTTCTACCAACATTCTGCTTATAACCAATTAAGTAATCTATAAGAAGATTCAGACTTTCCCTGCAGCTCTCTTCTTCTGAGCCCTCACCAGGATCTCCCTTCATGGCAATTTAGGCTTTTTCTAGCCTGCTCCAAAATCTTCCAGCCTCTGCCCATTACTTATTTCAAAAGCCACTTTCACATTTTCAGGAAATTGTTATAGCAACTTCCCTAATTCTGAGTACCAATTTTCTGTTTTAGTTCATTTTTTGCTACTATAATAAAATACCTGAGACTGAGTAACTTATAAACAATAGAAGTTTATTTGGCTCACAGTTCTGGAGGGTGGGAAGTCCTAGAGAATAGCACCAGCATCTGACTAGTGTCTTTGTGCTATGTTATGCCATGGCAGAAAGCAAAAAGGGGAAGGGATTGTATGAAACAAAGAAAAAAAAATGGTAGCCAGACTTCATCCATTTACCAGAAGCCCACTCCCACAATAAGGGCATTAATCCATTTATAAGGACACAGCCCTCATGACTTAATCACCATGAAAGGTTCCATCTTTTAATCCTGTTAAAGTGGCTATTAAATTTCAGCATGAAGGCCAGGCACGTTGGCTCACACCTATAATCCCAGCACTTTGGGAGGATGAGGTGAAAAGATTGCCTGAGCCCACAGGTTTGAGACCTGCCTGGGCAACTTGGTAAGACTTCATCTCTACAATAAATAAAGAAAAATTAGCTGGATATGGTGGCAAATGTCTGTAGTTGCAGCTACTTGGAAGGCTGAAGTGGAAGTCTTACCTGAGCCCAGCAGGTTAAGGCTGCAGTGGCCATGAGCATGCCACTGCACTCCAGCCTGGGCGACAGAGTGAGACTCCAATTCAAAAGAAAAAAAAATTCAGCCTGAGTTTTAGAGGGTACATTCAAGCCATTGCATCTTACAACAAATATAACATATGTTTTTATCACCCTTGTTTTATAGCTGAGGAAACTGAAGTAGTGGTAAAGAACTTGCTTGCAGCAATATGCTAATAATTAGCAGAATTAACATAGAAACTCATACTAAAATTCCATTGTGCTATAATTTACTAACTATTACTCTGTATTGCTTCTTGAGCAGTTATCACATTTTTCTATTACTAGTTCTGATATATTCAAATAAGTGAGACAGGAGTTTTTGTAGACAACCATGTCCTATAGTACTTGCACTAGGAATTCTCTTTCTTGCTTTTCAGTGACTTTAATGCTGCCTTGCACTTTTTCCCATGACTTTTTCCATGTAGGAAGCATGCAAGTCAAGATAACCATCAGAAGACAGGATGATCTGAGATAACCTCAATTTTTTTGTTTCTCCAGGTGAAAGGAGGAGTAGGGATCTGTCTCTGTTGGAAGCTCCAACTATTGGCTCAACTCACTGGAAACATTCCTTCCTTTGTTTGGGGGAAGAGATCTTTTTCCTGGAAGTAGGTCTTCCTCTTTTTTTCTTTGAACCTCCAGTTAGTAATTGTCAAGTATATGTAAAAACTGTAGCACAGAAAATTTTTGATGTTGTTAATTACATTATGCTATTGTTAACTTATCATGAAAGTACTTATCTTATAACCTCAACATCTAAAATATAACCTAGGATCAAGATACATAAAAATAAATCTCTAAGCAGACAAAATAGTTATTTTAAGATCCAAAATTTATCCTATCCTATACATAATTATTACAGTTCCATTATCATTTTCTAATTAGCCCAGCAGGCATAATTGTATTATATAATACAGACTAATGATTATGATCATAATAAGATAAACAATAAAACTTTAAATTGTGTTTAATTTTATCAATTTTTTTGAAACAAAGCATACAATCTGTTTTGCAAATAATTTCATCAGAATGCCTACTTTAAAAAATGTTTTGACCTCCAAAGTAGCAATTTCAATTACTTAGAATATACATTTATGTGGAACTATTTATCCTCAGATAATTGCTGGGCTGATGTTGTCCCATGCATAAAAGGATCATAAGAAATGGCATGTATTTACAACAACCTCTTAAAAACCTTTCGCATCAATTATATTGTATAACTGATGTATGTATGATGCATATATAAATTATGGACTATTCTACTATGGGTCTGACTCCCTGAACTGGTGAAACAAAATAACTAAAACAGGCAAAGATTCTCTTTGGTTAAGTACTTTGTAGTGATTTATATCTTTTTACTTTTCCAGTAGGGTTAAGGTTAAGTACGTGATTCTAAGAGTATTTTCTTTTTAAGTTCTTTTCCTTCCACCTTTATAGTTCTTTCTTAGCCTTTCTATGTGTTGCATTACTCTTTCACTCAGCAATATATCTAATTCATTTCCCTCATTGATTCATTTTACTCATCTTCAAGCATTCTTCTGAATGGATTCACAGAATCGTATGATATAATGACATAATAAGCATAACTGTAATTATAGCAAAACTCTCATTAAAGATGGAGACAGCTAAAGACCTTGACTGTGATCACACAGCTCACACAGCTAATCAAATGCTAAACTAGGGGGGCAACTTTTGGTCCCAAGTTTCACATACATGTCTACCTAGAACAACGTTTCACTTTATTTCCACACACTTACGATGTAAAGATTCCCATTGTTAAGCTATTTCCTAACACCTAATAAACCTTTTAGTGTAATTCTTGCTCAAATCTCATAAAGCTCTGCTCATAGTATTAAAAACTCAACTGAGTTTTCAGGCATCAGACTGAGACAAAAGACCTGCAGCTAATTTTTAAGCCCTCTTAATATTTATTTATTTATAACTGCTTTAAGACGTCAAACAAGGTCACTTCAAGACTTCCTAATTCAGTTGCTTCCAAAAACTCAAAAATTAAAATGAAAGTAAGCTGAAAAGTAAGTTATGAGGATGAGGTTTGTAAAAAATTGAAGAGAAAGGGAGGATAATTTACCAAAAGGAAGTACCTAGCAATACAACACCTGAATGTGGTTAGACTTATGACAAAAGAGCAGGGAGACCGGAGGCAGAAAGGCCAAGTGAAACCCTTGTTTCCAA